TATATGCATAAAATAGTTTCCAAATAAGTCATTTTCAATACTTAGACTTTTTTTGTTGGCACATCCATCCTTCCACACCTACAAGTGTGCAAGTTTTACACTGTTACAATACTGACAAAACTGTGCTTCTATTAATATAAGGTTTAATAATGTTTGTCTTTTGCTCCTAAAAAAGTGTATTCAGTACAAAGAATACATCTTTTGATTAACCTTATCACATTTGTGTTTCCTTTTTTTTTTTTAGAAATAAATTACTGTTTTGAGAGGCCCTGTATTTACTGATTTTGCCATTATACATAATTTAAATCTGAAAACATTAGAAATATAGGTGTACCCACTTTCAAACTCTGAATTGATTCTGAAGGAATAGTATACATAGTTACAATACATTTTATTAAATACTGTATTTCAAAGTTTGTAAAACAATTCTTGGCGTGTATTGTATGAAATATCATTTGAATTTTTTCACTAGATCCAGTTTGTTTCTAATTTAGAATATTTTAACATTTCCAGTGGGAAGATGTGAAAGAAGCTGAAAAGTAAGATAACTTGTGATATATTACAGGAACTCTCATTCAGGGTGAGGATAGTCACTGGCATGTAGAGAATAGGGCCAAGAAATTAGCCATCTACAGAAAAATAGTGTCCTGCAGATTACATGGAATGGGGCTGTCACTCCCTTTGCATTAGTGGCACTCAGAGACGACCCAAGCAGGGTGCAGGGCCCGGTGCAAATCAACCTGTGCAGGGCCCCGTCCCTGGATGCAAGGAAGCCAGCGGCAGATTCAGCAGCGCAGGGGGGGTGTGCCAAGTGGCTGGATGTGAAGCCAGTGGCAGCATAGAATCACCACAGCCGCTCTTCCCTGCTCCACGGGGCCCCCCAAAGGACAGGGCCTGGGGTGGTCGCCCTGACTTGCGCCCCCTAGGGATGGCCCTGGTATCACTCATGTGTCATGCCATCCTCTAACTTCCTGTTTCTCTGTCTCTGAAGAGGATAGAAGCTGCATGGAGAGTATAAATGTTATAACATGTTTTGCGTGCATGTTTCCAAGTGGATGTCTACCAAGTTTAGATGGGAGCATGCTGTGAAAAACAAATGTTCATTAACTGTTATTTTATGCTTTCAGAAAGAGAATAAAAACAGGATAGGAACACTCAAAGAAATAGCAGTCGCTTTAAGAATTGCATGTATTTCAATAAAATCAGTGGGGGTGGAGAGGCATGAGAACTAAGGTGCATGGTTAACAGCCCAGAGGTTGCAAGTTTGAGGCCATAGCAGAAGTGCTCATGGCATGGCTTCTCAGATTCCAGTGAATCCGAGTTCTGCTAAATACCTCATCACAACGACATGAAACAGGAAAGGAAGTGATCACTGGTCTAGAGGTAGGCAAAAGAACCAATTCTGATTAATGTCAATACCTGGGAGACATGAGCACTGAATCATCCCCAGTGGCACCTGGAAGTACAACAAAGCATCAACCATTCTGAACAAACTTGTCTTGCTACAGAGGCAAATGGATGAGAGAGATGAAAGGAAGGAGCTGTGACCCAACTTCACCAGGATCCACTCCATCCTTCTGAAACTATATGCCATGTCTGCAACTGAACATGCAGATCTCAGATTAGCCTCTTCAGCCATCTCCGGACTCATGGATAACTTCCCTATCTACTGGAAGACTGTCATCCTCAAATTGAAGGACTGCTGACGATGATAACCAGTTATATGTTTATATAAGTCAAATGATACAGTAGATTGACTCTTAATTTACACTGTGTAAATGAAGAAGACTCACCTATAAGTGATGTAAATGAAAGAAGAATGTGCCTTACTTCTGGTTGTCAAACCTGTGTAGTGAAGCAGAGTACTAGTTACCTTAATATGTACACAGGTAGCCTTAATGTTATCAGATTGATTTGGTATATTGCAGTGTGATCTTCTTATCATTGACAGAAATATATCTGAATATAACAGGAAAGAAATGCTGAAAAATGTAACCTACACTCTCCTTTTTAGTTTGTCTAGTAATAATTGTGCACATCTATGTAACATTTGACTCAACACTGAAATTATGCAAAATTCATCTATGTTCAGGTTTTGCTACTGGTGCAACTAAGATGTTTATTGACATACTTATGATTCCTAGTTTTATTTTTAATAATACAAATTTTAATATTAAAACATAAAAAATGTGAATTGTAAAGCTGCAAAAGCAAATGACAAGTATAAACAACCAATACTTTATTGTTTTTTAAAAAAATTCTATGGATTTTGGAGGCCTAACTCATGATTTTTGAATGCTTAGTCTTGGCAATACCATTAAAGTTAATTATGTATAAAAGTGCTTTGCTGGGTCAGAGCTCAAAGGAATATCCCACACAGTCCTGTAAAACAAGATTAGCTGATCTACTTGAGTGCTAATTATTCTTACCCAGATGTTTCATAGTTTCATAGCTTTAATGTAGCTTTAATGATGTTTTGCCTTAAAAATCCCATTAAGAGACAAGAAAGATTTTTGTTTTAAACAGTACACAGCAGGTATACATGCCCACAAGTAGAAGCATAGAGTACAGAAGAGTTCAAAAACCCTGTGTGAATCTGTATTAATTCACAGTATGTAAATGGATGGGACCACTGGTGGCACAGTAGGGGGCACTACACGCAGAGCCACCCACTTCACTGTGCCAGGCCCAAAGCCACGCTTCGGGAGTCTCCCCTGGGGAGCCTATGGCCAGTCATCCCCCTTCCTGGAGAACACCCGCATGTCTGCGGTAATAATACCACCACCCAGGTGCTGGTCTCTGTAAGGACTCTGTGTAGCCAGGGGTACACAGACCCTGCAAGCCTTGGGGGTGCTTTGCTCACTGGTAATATTTTGGGGTGCCTCTTTCAGCCTGAAGCATCCAAAGATTGCCTCCAGCATTCGAGAAAAATGAAAAGCCAAGTCCAATATAGCTGGCCTAGGAAAGGAAGCAATAAAGGCGTCTCTCTCTCCCCTCGGGAATTCATGGCCAGTCATGCTGTAACCTCATACCTTTACTGGCGGGGAGGGGATAGAACGAAGGAGTCAGAATACACTTTGAGTAAACCAAAATAAGTTGAGTCTTTACAGATATTGGGTACAGTGACCCTCTTAAGACGTGTCTATCTATACTTAGTTCTAACCTACTAGCTAGTTTCCAGGTCTTTACTCATAGGGATTCACCCAGGCAGTACCTGGAGGCATGCGTCTTGTGGCTTTTCCAAAATGCCGCTGGAGGAGATAGAGACCTCTTCCCTCTCCCCTCAGGAACTGATCTGGCCAGGTCTCCTGGTTGACCAGCCAGGACCAAATAGCAAGCAAGTGAAAGAGAGAGGGGTGCAGCCGGAATGACCCAGTGCAATGGGATACACAGAGGGGGATTTTTCCACAGCCACAGTCTGTACATGAAAATCTACTGAGAGGAAGGGAAGCTTTTTCTAATATGTCAGCTTGCCTCTTTCTGTATTCTCAGAATCTTCTAAGAGCATCTACCTATACCTCACATGGGCTCTAATATACCGCGTGACCACATGATTAATGAGGAAGCAGCTTTCAGTCGGGCAGTGTGCCCACTGACTCCAGTGGGACTGGGATCTAACCCTATGAGAAATAATAAGCACTCTACTGAAAGATGGATGTGTTATCTCTTGAACTCTCTGGAGAGTGAAATGGTGTATTTACATATTTATTTATTTTTCTATTTTTTTCTAAGTGGCATAATTAGAAGAGAAAGTTATAGTTTGAAGAGAAAGTTATAGTTTTTTACTAGAGGCAGTAGAAGTGTTGTGGATGAAACTGGATTACTGGTTGTGAGGTTAGAAAAAAGCTGCATTCACATCTCTTATTCAGCGGCGCAGAAGGGCATATGAGCAGCAGATGAAATGGCCAGCAACTTGACTGCTCATATCATAGTTTAACTTGGCAACCAGCTGGTCTGAATTTAAGTTTGCTAAAAGCTATGAACTTGCACCCAGTTCTGTGTATATATGGATACATGTGATTTCACAATGAAATGAGAAGCTCTGTTTTGATTCAGCTTTGCTTCAGGTTTGTAAACATAAAAAAGTTGGAGTGAAATGCGTCATGCAGAAAAAATGTTCACACATGCTCAAGTGAACCACAACACAGCATTTGTGGCAAAATGTCTTACTCAAGATCAAATGGGTTTCTGTGAGTAAACATGGAAAAACATGATCATAAAAGTTTTTAACATTTATATTGTTATTATTTAATAGTTAACCCCAAGTGAGAACAAAATCTCAGACAGCTTACATAAGACTAACCAGAGACTGGTAACCATGATCCTCACTCTGCCAACACCCTTCCTATCCATCCATGAATTTATTAGGTGTTTACAGGAGGGAGTGTGCAATATCTTTAGCACCTGCAATACAAATAAAGAAGTGATGGAAACCAAATCCCATAAGAACCTGCAATGTCATATAAAATATACCAGAATTCCTCCATAAAATCCAATGCTTTATACATAGCCCAAAACAACTGAGCAATGGCATTAGAGCTAATACCATCTAATTGTCAAGAACAGTCCATGGTCTAAAATTTTCCAACTCTTTGATTCTGCCAAGAATAATGAAAAATCGGTCCCCTGACTCTGCTATCTTATTGACTATGTTCATTTTCTATACAATATTAGGTTAATCCATGCAAAATTGACATAATTTTTATTGTTATTGTTTATTGTTAAATTTGTATTGAATTTATATTCTTTCTTTAGCATCTTCCATAAAATGTCTTACATGTTAGTTTAGTTTCTGTGTTTTTGTTCTGTTTGGTTTGTTCTGTAGTAAAATTAGCAGCTTTTGGGGAAATATTTTCCAGTCATTAAAACCAAAAATTAGTATCCTGGCAATTCAGTCTAAAATATAGACACCAGGTTCCAAATTTGTGACTGTGTAATTAATATTACATGCAAATTGTACAGGGTTATTAAGTCCTGAATAAAACACAGCAAGAGAAATCCTGGCTATATATAAGTCATTCAGTCAAAGTCAGAGACTGTTGAAAGGCAGCTGAAGTAACGGAACTAACCACAGTAAAGGACCTGCTTCATCTGGCACATGTTGTCTCATGAATAAAAATGATACTTTGGAAGTTGCATCTTGGCTTTTATTCTACCCAGGAGAGCACACAATTCACCAGCAGACTCTATATGCCTGAAGAAGGATGTTTGTGCCTGACAGCTTTCAAAGAACAATTTTTCCTACTATGTAGTTGGTCTAATAGAAGATATCACATCTACCCAAAGAACCTTGTCTGACTTTGGCAGATGGGTTTTCGAACAAGGTAAGCTAATTTTATAAGGCACTGTCAATGGAGTCTCAAGTATATTTTTGTGGTCTCCAGTGTTTGGAACACCCTAAAGAAAGCTTAAAAAAAGACCTGACTTTCTTATGAATGCATTCCAGTTCCCTTTAGAAAGCAGTGATCCTCCCTTTACAGTTTGGAAGGTTTCCACAACAGTGTTCCCTCCAGGCTGTGAATGGGAGGGACAATCATTGTCTCCAGAAAATACTAGACCTCCCAAGCTGCATGGCTTCCCTCCCTCCTTTCTTCTTTGCACTAGAGATCCACCTTAAGGGAAAGAATGAAATAAGTCCATTATATGCCTCTGCTTGCTTATAAACTAGCAAGAAGTTTGCAAATCTCTAGTAAATTTCCTTTTTCTGCCGGCTGTGTTCCTTTAGTAAAGGAACTAAAGCAAGGTCATATCTAAGCAGTGGTTAGGTTTTTAATGCAATGCTAAGCTGTAAGCAACAGAGGGATATAAACTATGGCTACTCAAAAAGCCAAAGGATTTTCTCCTTCTTGAATAGGTTGGTATTCAAATAGGTGAATATTTGGACTTAAACTGCTTGCTACAAATCACTTCCATGAGACAATCACTATAATTGTGCCTGGGATACCTACTGCTAAATCATACTTTGGCGGCCATGAGAGTCTCAGGAAGTTTATTACTGTAGCCTTTCTTGTGAATTGTGCAAAATGTCATGGACAGTGGCAGGCTGGTCAAAGGTAACCCTAAAATGAAGTTAACACATATTGCTGTGTTAATTAGAGGCACATGGATGGAGGGGCTTTGCTGGCTGTTGTTTGGATTAGAGGTGTATCTGTAGGCATCAATGAGAGAGGGAAGTAGCCCTAGAAACATCAGAGAGACTGACAAGAAGAAAGAGAGAACGTGAATAAGCACAGGGAGCATGGCTGAAGTAACCAAAGCACAGAAGATTAAGGAAATACCTATGGCTAGTTTACCCAGGAGCATAGGCAAATCCAGGGGGGTGAAGTGGTGCAATTGCACCCCTCTTTGATTCCTGATCTACTCAAAATTTAAACTGGCTGGGAGGGGCAGCAGCATACAGCTAGTGCTGAGACAGTCAATTGACTTCATGGCTTATTATCATCTCCCTGATTCCTGTTAATCTCTCTCCACTTCATGAGTATTAAAGGCTCTCTATCCTTTTAAATAGCTTTGATGTTTCACTATTCAAACTATCCTTTCTTCTGCAATTTTGCTATCTGTTAGACATTCCTGGTAATGTCTCTCTTCTATTTTACAGCCATGCAGACTGTTTTTAGCTCTAGTTAAAAGCCTTAACTCAAGTGCAGTAATAGTCATTCAGGTGCAGCAATGACTGACATTGAAGTACTGGATGCACTGTCAAGATGCTCAGAAAGGCTAGGTTTTGTTTTATGAATATGAATAAGAGATGTACATTTAAGTACAACTACTAAAGAACTAATAGACTATTTTTTGCCTGGTTTGTAGTGTTTTTTAAAACTTTTATATATACTCTAGTTAATTTGTACACATTCTAATAGCTATATTTGTTTTTTGCTTTGAACTTAAACTAAATAATATAGTGCAAGCCCCCTACCATATTATGAAAGCCTCTGCTCTGGAGAAATATATGTTATGTTATATGTGATGAAGTGCCACACCATGCACACCCCCCTTTTAAAAAATCCTAAATCTGTTTATGCCCATGAGTAAAGCACTAATTTGCCTGTGCAGTTTCTGGTACCTGAGCTGGTTTGGTTAGAACTAGCTCAGGCATGGGTAAATGGCGCTGTACTGTGCTGGGTATGCATATCCTCAATATCACATAGAACATTTGTGACAGAACAGGGACTGGAACCTATAGCACCTGGTTCTCACACAATCACCTTAACAACTGCATCTATCATTTCATGTTGGGCTCCATGCTATATTTCCCTCCTACTCAGTCATCCATGGCTCTGCAGACTAGGGTAGTATGCTGAAGGTTTAGAATAAATCACAGATTGGTTGAGATCCACATACAGAAGATTTGCTTTCTGGCTGGAGGTGGAGTGATGGGGGCGGTATGATCTTATAGCCTCTGTATAGCGCCCAAAAAGGAAGAGGCTGGGGTACCCAGGCTGGTATGCAATCCTTTCTTAATAGTTGAGTATTTTGTTTCAAAACTGAATGCAACTTCAACAGAGTCAGGATTTCACCTAAAGTATCTGTCTGAAATATTTTTGTGTGCTATATACACTTTCATTAACAATCTAATTAATGGGAATGTAATTTTAATTCTTACAGTTATGGACCTTGTGGAATCCATTTATATTGTGTACAAAGACTACAGTTTGATATTTTTATATTAGAAGTTTTAACTGTCTTGTTCCCTTTATAAGATACCTACACTGACCTAAAATGCCACCATGTGATACGCATCTTCAAAACCCTTTGCACAGATAGATAATACCAATATTTAATTTCTGAATTATTTTTGTCATGAAATAACGTTAAATTGTATTTAATTTGAAATATAACCGATTATTATTTTAATTATCTGGCAATCAGTGGTGCACTGTTCTAGCACAGAATCAATTGTAGTCTGGTTGGCAGTCAGTTTTATTAAATCGAGGCTTGATAAAGTATAGTACTAGATAAGCAGCTTTATAAGTAGGTGCAGGAAGGAGTTTTACTCATTTATTCCACTTCACCACACAGAATAATCTTCATAACTCTGACCTTCAATCTCTACAAGATGATCAGCTATTGCTCATTTCAGACCAGCCACTGCCAACTTTATACATGCTGGGTGCATCTACACAAGCAATTACTGTACTTATTGCTCCAGAGTTTATTGCTCCTGGGTACACTGTTTGAACATGTGCAATAAGCTCTGGAGTTTATTTGTGTGTGGCATGATGAGCCAGGTTAGAGCAGTCCTGGCTAGCAAGGGGTCTGGGGACAACCCGCAAACCTGGGACTTCTCCTCCTGGCTCAACATGCTATGGAGGGGTAGCTGAGGCACGAGGAAGCTTCACTGTGGGGCAAGCTGGCAGGAAGCCCTTGTACTGAAGCTCCATCATGCCCCTGCAAGCCAGGGCAGCATCTACTCATGCACTACTACAGCGTAAATTTTACTGCACAACTAATTAACCAGTCTTGCATAGATGCACCCGCTGAATAGTACTTCAGCCTCCGAGCAATCCCATTGAAACCAGAACGTAGAAAAGGGCCAAGGTAAAATTTTATTCTGCATAATTAAAAAAAAAATACTCTAATGATCTATGTGTCTGATCTCAAACACTCTCATTTGCTATTGCAAACTACAAAATCATCACTGCTATAAAAATCTGTAGTATCTAAGGGAAAAGAGCCAGAAAATATAATATTTAACTTGTGTAATCTTAATAACACAGGCCCTAGAAAGTAACTCACTAATTCCTTAGCTTCTTAAGGAACTTCTTGTACCTTAACTTCTTGCTTTAAGCACAAGCATCTACTGGAACAAATGCAATTGCTTTAGTCTCCACTAAGCCAATTGGAAACCTTAGAATCCACTTTGCTGAATTGCTGTTTAGATTGTAAACTTTTTGGTGTAGAGACCCTGTCTTTTCCATGTACTATATTCAAGGTTAAGGGCACTGTGAGTGCCAAACAAATAAATAATAAATATAGCAAAAATAATGACACATCCTTCGGCTATTGAAAAGATAGTGACCTGTCATTCTATTTTTTTATGTAAGATTTCTAGATTGCATACACTTGATAGCCAGTGCTTTATATCTTCTCTCAATGTTCACAATGTGTAAATTATTAATATGTATCTGCATTGTAGCCATTATACACAAAACTACCTTTATATCAAGAAACAAGGAAATGACTATATGTATTTTTTCACTGTGCTTTAATAGTGAAATGTGCTCACATGCTTTGTGCCACTTAGTTTCATAGTTTCTAGGGTCGGAAGGGAGCTGAGCAGATCATCGAGTCCAACCCCCTGCCATGGCAGGAAAGAGTACTGGGGTCAAATGACCCCAGCAAGGTGTACATCTAGCCTCCTCTTAAAGACCCCCAAGGTAGGAGCCAGCACCACTTCTCTTGGAAGTTGGTTCCAGACTCTAGCCGCCCTGACCATGAAATAGCGCCTCCTGATATCTACCCTCACTTGGCTTGTGACCGTTATTCCTGGTCACTCCTGGTAGTGCTCGGGGGAACAGGGACTTCCCCAGTGCCTGCTGATCCCCTCTGACTAGTTTGTAACAGGCCACTAGATCCCCCCTCAGCCTTCTCTTGTGGAGGCTGAACAGGTTCAGGTCCTGTAGCCTCTTCTCATAGGGCCTGCCCTGCTGCCCCGACCA